TGAACGTTTCATGGACATAAATACCATAAAATTACTTGGGTCTGCTCTAACTCTGAATTTGAGATCGTCCATATAAGTCATCCTGTTTACGCGACAAGCCAGCCAATCATATGATCAAACTTGTGTGACGTATTTTTCTGGGTCACTTGTGTTGACAGTGAGAGGGCAGCCATACCGCAGTAAAAATACCTGGATTTGTTAAATGTTTGACATAAATAAACAAGTTTAGAGGTAAGAGATTTGAAAATAAGATTATATGAATATAACTTTGAAAATTCAGCGACAGTTCTTAAGTGATCGAACTTACATGACACAAGGGTATTTTTTATCTGTAATATCATTTAAAGTTTTTCTTTTACTAACCTTGAGTGATAAAGGATGTATTCATTTATTTCACACAAAAATAACAAGTGTTCCCTACAAAAATAGCGTTGATGACATCGTATCGGCGAAACTGTTGCCGCTCGTAACATCCAGGTATTTTGTATGGGTTTTCGACGATGAGCCATACTTTTTGCTCCGCACTGCAAGGGAGTGTTGTGATCACGTGGCTTCCCATTTATATGTTGCCTGTCTAACTGATCTTAACTGAATTTTCGCCTGCTATTTTTGGTTATAAAGGCAACTGATTTTGTATCTGAAGTGGTATTAACGATCTCGGGTATATAATATTGATGTTTGTTTGCTTTTTATATAACTTTACTTCCCGATTTCCATTGTCAGTAAAACTTTTCACGACAGCGACTGGGCACCCGCCCTACCAGTGAAACTGTTTGTGCACTCCGATCGTATATGTACTCCCCCTATATAGCGCGTGCAATGCAATCGTCGAAATCACCAGAATGTCGCATTCAGCTCGTGTTGGGATATAATACAATGCCGTCCGGTAATTCCGCGCACCTAAGCACATCGATCGCAACACGGCAACTAACATTTCGTATTTTTTGTGGTTTATGTGACTAAACATGCTGGTATGCATCATATTTACCTAGAAATATAAGTTTTATTGATGACTATAGGATTCTAACATTGCATTATGCCATACGGTTGACCTTACCGGCGTTCTGACGACATCGCTTGCTGTCCTGCAATTCTGCGCAGCAACTGATGCGCATAACATCCAGCTGGAGATCCGAAGTATGGAAGTGTATTAGGGCCAGATAATTTTCCAAAATCACTTATCAATGTAAGGTAGAGTGTTTCATATTAAATCCAATTATGAATAATGAAGAAAGAGATTTAAAAGTCTGAAGAAAACGAATTTTCATAAAATCTATTTTATGTCACCTTTAGATTACAGCACCACAAACTTCTCGTGAGGACGATCTCTGCCGTAGGTCATGTGTCATTAAGACAAGCAACCAGTTTGTGAGAACCCGTCGGACGTGAACCCGCGACCTTCGGATTGTTAGCTCGACAGTTAACCGACTGAGCTACGTCCACACTGTTGCACAATGTGCAAATTTATCGAGTCATTCTTGTGACGTCACGGAAATGAACGGAAAGAGTCGAATAGGACACGGACAATTACAAAGGTTACGGGTAGACTTGGCGTCTTGTGATTTTAATCTACAGACAATTGCCATTTGGCACATATTACTCGTCCCATTCCGTAATCTACAAGAATGGACCCGATGCCATTTGGCACACTCGTCCCATTCCGTAATCTACAAGATAGTGTGTGGCGTGGAATGAGCCGAGATGCCTCAAACTGAAAAGGGTTGTTGACGTCAGGCGTCAGATGTAGATTTCATGGTGCATGCATGAATGACGCGCTTTTATATAAATCGGTGATTTTGTGACAGAAAAGTGATGTAGGGAACACTGTAAGGATAATGTGGATCGCACTAAGGAACGAGGGAGACATGAGCATGTGTAGTGACAGCACGAGGGTGAGTTAGCCTTCGAATCATTACTGAACAAATGTTGCGTGTGAAAGAGGCTTGAGTTCAAATTCCAGGCCAATTTCCATTAGCCCAAAATTTCTACATTAAACCATTTCATAGTGTACTTTTGACGTTTTTAGTTTCCCGTTTTTGTGTGAAAAAAAGTATTAAAATGCAAAAGGAAAAACAACAAATGGTACTCACGTATTACACCGGACATGTACCTACTATATTGGATAAGGTCCCGGTCCCTAACCCTAAACCCTCAGCCCTAACCCAAACCCTAACTCCTTGAAATAATCCTTATAAATAGAATGGATTTGCCGAACCTGCAGTATTAAAATGCAAAAGGAAAAACAACAAATGGTACTCACGTATTACACCAGACATGTACCTACTATATTGGATAAGGTCCCGGTCCCTAAACCCTCAGCCCTAACCCAAACCCTAACTCCTTGAAATAATCCTAATAAATAGAATGGATTGGCCGAACCTGCAGTATTAAAATGCAAAAGGAAAAACAACAAATGGTACTCACGTACTACACTGGACATGTACCTACTAGATATTGGATTAGGTCCCTAACCCTAAACCCTCAGCCCTAAGCCCTAACCCTAACCCTAACCCTAACCTTAACCCTAACCCTAACCCTAACCCTAACCCTAACCCCCTAACCCTAACCCCTTGAAATAATACTAATAAATAGAATGCATTGACCGAACCGGCACAAACATGACTAACGTGTCCAGTGTAATACATTATTACCGCTTCAAAAAATATAATACTAATAAAAAACTTTTCTATGTAATGGTGCAAATTACTGAATGAAAAATATGTATATGTATGTCAGTTCACATTGGTAAATCATTTAGACTTAATAGTTACTTACAAACCGAAATATAAAATATATTTACATAATTTAAATAATTACATTGAACAAACTTGCGAATAATGGAATATATATAAAATAGACCGGTGTAACCCATTCTCGTTTAATACAATAATATACAAAACATAACACCTCAGCACCCCATAATACAAATAAATATGAGCGTATTAGTGGAAAAAAAATATATTTCAAACTGGTGCTTGCAAAAAATTGTGCATCCGCCGGTTTACAACTACTGGAAACTCTCAACATTGTTAGGCTTATGCAATGACATAGCTCGAAGAGATGAAACACCAGTGAGCAGAGCTTATATGCACTCGCTGAGCTAGACAACCATGTTGCCATGGAGGCGTCATAGGGCATTGTTTCGAGAACGTGCTTTCGAACAAAATCACATTACATTAAGTAAGAGGGTATTATGACATATTTTTAAAGTTTGTGGTGCTATATTCTAAAGGTAGGCTGTCAATCTATCCGGACTTGCTTGTATACATTGCTGATTATGAAAAAACATATAAACAAAATTATGAGCATACAATCGCAAATCAAAAGTGCAATATTTTGTAGTTGGGTTTATCTCCCTCGAAACGAAGCACCCGGGATACTCAACCCAGTCAGGGCGGATGGGTGTGCACTCAAGTGTAACGAGGATTTCATTGGCTGGTTCATTTGCTGATCCCTCACGGCTCATTGTGTGTATGTATATAGATATGTTGGGTTTTGTAAATACATGCTCATTTTTGTGTATAACATTTTGCAATCAATAGACATCATAACATGTATCACACCTGCCTGTCTGTGTAATTACATAATGTGACAGAGACCGAACTCGGGCCATAAATCAATGCGTTTTGTTTATGGTGTATAGCCTGATAGGTGTTAAGTTCAAATTGCATGTGGTCAGTAATCGAAGTTGTGTATTGAATTTTTTGTCATTAGCAGACAGGCAGGCAAACACATAGGTGTCAATAAAACAGACACTGAGTTTTGCCTGTGACAACGACATATCTATATCACAGTTAGAAATTCTGTCAACGCTAAATAATGACATTGCTTTTGAGTATCGAACTGAGAAAGTGACTCGGTAAGAAGAACGTGTGGTGAAATAGACAAATGAAATTATATAAAGAGTTAATCGGTAATCTACTGTCATAACATATAAACAGCTCACGCCTGTGAATATCAACAAAACATTAGAAAAATAGCTCACATCAAAGCCTTCACCGAGTATTCACCGCCAGCAAAGGTTCTCAGTCTTGAAATGTCGAACGCCTCACTTGTTGACACATAGCTGAGTAGATCTAGATCCTTACAAGGTTCTTTTCTGTAATGAGTAGATTATTTACTATTTGTTTTGATTAGACTACTCCTGCTCACGACTTTATATTAAATCCGGACATCCCGCTTCCAAGCTGCACGGACCAATTTACTGCTCATACGCTGTGAGCGCAGCACAGCACAGCTGTTGAAACCACTTTTCACCCTAAGTGCTGGTGTGAATTTAGTGAATCGTTTGAACTCCGATTTCGCAGGAGTTTTTTCATCGCGTTATTTTTCAACTTTATAAGTTGAATTGCATTTTGATGATTTGTATCTGCACTTCCATACGGAAAGGTATCAAAATCTGCAAAGTTGTGTTTTACGTTGCATGTGACCTTTAATCATTAGTGAACCGAGCATTTGAGCTAGAATACAAAATGCATACCTTCCGTCATATTCGTGATTGATATTTTTAAGAAAACTTTAGAAAGGTGCACAGACGCCTTCCTTAGTAACGGTTTCTGAGTTATTTTCGCCTTATTTGTTATCCGCTCGCGAAACAGGAGTTTTAGGTGTGTCTATGTATGTGTTAAAGTTTACAAGGTTAATTAAAAATAAAACTACATATTTTTTAAATGTGTTCCCGATGGACACGGAAGAGGTTTACACTCGATATAAATTTTCTTCCAATGTGAGTATATTTTTAACTCACTCACTCCAATTCCAGGTGTTCATGCTCAATATTTGATATTAGCGAATTGCTTTGATATTCAGTTTTTAAGGTTTAATTTTTAATCAAAACATCATACCATCATATGAAAGCAGGAGTAATTTTTCTGCTTACTTTGAGTTTCATGACAACAAATTATCCCCCCCTGACACACACTGCAATATCAGTACAATCCATGGCGGATGTATCTATCCAATATTCTGTAGGTGTAGGGAGTTCTTGTTCATGTCCTCAGTGTCAGTGGATGAAGAAGATGGCCCGACAGATCGTCCTTGTCACAGGAAACAAGAAGAAGCTGGAAGAAATTGTACAAATTCTTGGCCCTGACTTTCCACATAAGGTTAGCATCTGGTATGACACTGCATGTAATGAGGAGCATGATCACCAGTAACTAGCGTTCTTGGCAGACAAACCAGATAGAGCTGGACCAGGGCTGAGATCTGGACTTTTGACGTAATGACACTGAATGTCACTGTGAGGCTATCCTACTGCAGGTATGGTAGAGATTACTTTCAGCATCAAAACCTGATGATAGAAAACATATTCACTTTATATGAACAAAGTTGTGTCCCTTTTCTATGTCAGGATTCACTTCTCATGGGTTTCAGTGCTAGAGATGTCCTGATTATGACCCTTATTCTGTCCCTACTAATGGGTTTCGGCTAAGTCAGTAAGTGTTAATGTGTTATTGACCATTGTCATATTTGACTTTCACCAAACTCACCCTTACCCAGACAGTCTTCCTGTTTTAGGTGAAGAGTCAGGACATTGACTTGCCCGAGTATCAGGGAACTCCGGAGGAAATTGCTCGAGCTAAGTGTAAGCTGCGGAACACATCAAGGGACCAGTCATTGTGGAAGATACAAGCCTTTGTTTTAATGCCCTTGGTGGTCTCCCAGGACCATATGTCAAATGGTTCCTAAAGAGTGTGGGACCAGAAGGTGATAAGTGATAAAACAATCGTATGATGTAAAGAATAAAGAATGTGCATCCTCCATGTTAGCTGATGTCAGTGAAGCCTGTTCATCAGGTGTGAGCTTGAAAATATATGCAGAACTATTTGGCACATAGCAGGGGTGGAAATAACCCATTGCCCGACGTCCGAGTCCAGTGTTTTTTTCTGTCAGGCAAGCAAATTTGTATATCACACTGTACCAGTGTCCAGTTGACTTTCCAATGTTAATTATGTTGTTTATTTAAAAAATCAACAAGAAAACAGACGGTATAGTGGAAAAAATTTCAGGGCAAGTGATTTTATACGTGCCACTGTACCGGAGTACACTAGCAATTTTAGAGTTATTTCCATCCCTGCATAGTACCACATGACATACTCCATAGCTTTCTGCAAAGTAAAAGGTTCCAGTTGGGTATAACGTTGAAGAAGACAATGCAGTAGCCAATATGCCCAAAATGAGGGGTAGTAAATGTGGACATCGTCGACAGTACCATTGTGTGAACCTCAACATTCATGCCTCTACATGGTGACGTTCTGTTGATACCTTTCAACTGAGACCTAATGTTGTATCCATCCGTCCATCTTCTTTGTCTTCCTCAGGTCTGCACAAGATGCTGGCAGGGTTTGAGGACAAAACAGGATACGCTCAGTGTGTATTCGCGTACTCATCCGGGCAGGAAGGTTCAGACATACACATATTTGATGGGAGGTGCCCTGGCTCCATTGTGGCTCCACGTGGCTCAACAGACTTCGGATGGGATCCATGTTTCCAGCCAGATGGCTTTGATAAGACATATGCTGAAATGGACAAAAGTGTCAAGCACACTATTTCCCATCGTGGAAAAGCTATGGACTTGCTCAAAAATTATCTCACGAAGTTGTCAGTTTGATCTCGTCCTCCATGGCCTGCAGCTGTTGTCTTTTGGGGACGAGACTTCAATAAATGGACACTGTGAATTATAATAGATTGATCACTTCTTTTATGATATATTATTCAACAGTTCCCGTTGCCCGCTTGCCACTGTGTGAGGACATTCAACATGCCATGATTATAGGTTTCACTACAAGTTGCCCTGAATTATGACAACACAGCCCTAACCGGCTAATTCTCAGGTTGACCAGACTGATTGTATGTGATCAGAACATAAAAATACATACGTTCTAACACATGTTATATTTGGGATTACACTTTCTTAGTAAAGTACAGATTCTAGTACTTTTTGGGTTGAGCCCCATCCGGGATTCGAACCCACACCCTCAGAGTCAGGCGCCTAATCGCCAGCACACAAAGTCAGACGCCTAGACCGCTCAGCCACCGCAGCTTCCACGGTCTAAGCTTCTGACTTTGTGTGCTGGCGATTAGGTGCCTGACTCTGAGGGTGTGGGTTCGAATCCCGGATGGGGCTCAACCCAAAAAGTACTAGAATCTACTTTACTAAGAAAGTGTAATCCCAAATAAAATATATGTTACATTTGACCACTTTCTAAAATGGCATTGTGTATTTCAGACATACGTTCTACATATCAACACCCAGTTCTATGTTTTGTATATATAAAGGAAATTGTTGTTGCCTGATCAGGTGATGCAGCAGATGGCTGTGTACACCTCAGACAGGGTAGAGTAGTATGAAGGCTGACTGTGTTCGGCTGCTTCAGTCCAGCTTCTTGTACTTCAGTCCATATAGCGCATGTGTTGTCTCTTCAGGCAAGTTAGAGAAATGACCCTGTCCATCCAGCAGTCAGTGGGTACCAGGTAGCATTTTCGGACTGTTGGGTAGTATTGTCTCCAGTTAGCTGACAATGAACATAGAGCGCACACTTATCAACTGACTGGGTACTTATGTTGATCTATCTTGTCTTAGTCATATTTGTTTACAGAGTATATACAAGTTCATTATTAAATATGTATTTTTCCTTTGTATGGTTTGCTTTATGATGCATGTTTGCCTTGCTGTGTGGATGTGCTCCCTCTGCTTCAAGGCCGAGATGTTGCCGATGCCACACACTGTCAGCTCCATCACCCACTCACTCACCCACACCCAAAGGCATGTTATGACAGAAACACCATGCACATGCATCCATGCACACAAACATATAAAACCATTGTTGTGTAATATAACCAGTGTTGAGTCTTCCCATTCCAGGAGAAGTTTTATTGTATGACATGTGATCTAACTGCTAGAACTGTCGTAAGTCTGTGTTAGGATATTGGAGTTGTGATCATCATAGCACAGAGATCGCTTTGGGCAAGTGTACTCGGCTCAGTCAAACGGGATTTGACGACTTTTCTTCATGTCATGTTTAGGTTGTAATTGTATATGACTTCAAGTTCAACCTTGAATTTACACATGTAATTGTTATGAATCATGTCGTTGGTCAGATGCAGTGATAAGAATTTCCATCGCCTTAAAGTAAATATATGATACATGGCTTCCCAGAGAATAGATCTCCAGTGGCTGATGTTGAGGTGGGAATAGATCTCCAGTGACTGATGTTGAGGTGGGAATAGATCTCCAGTGAGCTGATGTTGAGGTGGGAATAGATCTCCAGTGACTGATGTTGAGGTGGGAATAGATCTCCAGTGGCTGATGTTGAGGTGGGAATAGATCTCCAGTGGACTGATGTTGAGGTGGGAATAGATCTCCAGTGAGGTGATGATTCCAGGTGGGGTGGGAATAGATCTCCAGTGATGTTGAGGTGAATAGATCTCCAGTGGCTGATGGAGGTGGGAATGGCTGATGTTGAGGTGGGAATAGATCTCCAGTGGCTGATGTTGAGGTGGGAATAGATCTCCAGTGGCTGATGTTGAGGTGGGAATAGATCTCCAGTGGCTGATGTTGAGGTGGGAATAGATCTCCAGTGACTGATGTTGAGGTGGGAATAGATCTCCAGTGGCTGATGTTGAGGTGGGAATAGATCTCCAGTGGCTGATGTTGAGGTGGGAATAGATCTCCAGTGACTGATGTTGAGGTGGGAATAGATCTCCAGTGGCTGATGTTGAGGTGGGAATAGATCTCCAGTGGCTGATGTTGAGGTGGGAATAGATCTCCAATGGCAGTGACTGATGATTCCAGAGTTGAGGTGGGAATAGATCTCCAGTGACTGATGTTGAGGTGGGAATAGATCTCCAGTGGCTGATGTTGAGGTGGGAATAGATCTCCAGTGACTGATGTTGAGGTGGGAATAGATCTCTCTGATGTTGAGGTGGGGAATAGATGTGACTGATGTTGAGGTGGGAATAGATCTCCAGTGGCTGATGTATGACAAGGCGGATGGAAACAAGAACATGTGAGTCTATACCACTCTCTTGAGGCTTTCAGTGCCAACATTTATTAAACAACAAATACTGTTCCCAGATCTAACATCCATACATTGCCACACTGACTCCTTCAACATGGCTGCTGTAATACACGAGACGGTGAAGCAAGTTGTCCGGCTTAAACGTTTTATTTCTTACAGAACAGTAATAAGTAAAGTTGCTACAAATTGTGTTAGAATAAGGTAGAAATGTGCTACACAGCATTGCATGTTTTATTGCAAGTGTTGCCCTATCCTGCAAGGACATTCCTCTGACTATTGTCACAACTACAGGTTTAGTAATTGGGTGAGTTTGACCATGACATCATTGGCTGAAATACAAATAAGAATGCAAAAATATCAAAAGCTTGGAGATGCTGACAAGTCCAAGAGTTACTTCCCTTGTAATACCAGCAAGCACTGCCAGTAAGCTTGTTCTACTTGTAGTTAATATTTGAACTGAAGATATTATTGACCATGCATTAATAGTGCTGTACAAAAAACAACCCTATTTCTTCAGTTAGTTTGTAAGTTATGTTCCAAGGACCCCTTATTTCCTGCTGTTATTGTTATGAGATAAGTGCCCCTGAGGGATGATGTGTAGTGTTGTGTGCTGTGCTGTGTAGTGTGTGTGTGTGGTGTGTGCTGTGCTGTGTAGTGTTGTGTGAAGTGTTGTGTGCTGTGCTGTGTAGTGTTGTGTTGTGGTGGTGGTGCTGTGCTGTGCTGTGTAGTGGTGTGTTGTGTGCTGTGTAGTGTTGTGCTGTGTAGTGCTGTGCTGTGTAGTGGTGTGTGCTGTGTGCTGTGTAGTGTTGTGTGCTGTGTAGTGGTGTGTTGTGTGGTGGTGTTGTGCTCATTAGTGCTGTGTAGTGTTGTGTGCTGTGTAGTGTGCTGATTAGTGGTGTGCTGTGTGCTGTGTAGTGGTGTGCTGTGCTGTGTAGTGTTGTGTGCTGTGTAGTGGTGTTGTGTGCTGTGTAGTGGTGTGTTGTGTGTGTAGTGGTGTGTGTAGTGTAGTGGTGGTGTGTGTGTGGTGGTGTGTAGTGTTGTGTGCTGTGAGGTCAGTGGCAATGTAATGGGAGTATTGAATTCATGTCCAGTATATGTCACAAGTACAAACGAGAAATTACGAGCATTGCTAACCTCCTGAATAACTATGAAACTGTCATGGAAATGCAAGGCAACATCAAGTAAACCTACTGACTTGAAGATTTTCATATGTAGACCTACTATTAAGTCTGACGTGGTCGTATTGCAGGCATGTACTTCATGGTGTGTGTTCCTTGAGATCTTCACCACAATAGTGAGTGTAACAGGATCGCACAACATGAGTGGTGGCCTCAACCATAGCCTGGTACTGAAGCCAGAAGGAAGAGGATCATAGGTGGAAGTGGGTTTTTTAATTTTCAGAAATATTTGTTAATAATGAAAGGATTAATTGCATCAAGTCAATGGCTGTCAGAATACCTGGGCACATCTGTGGTAACTGAGCTGCCACAAAATGCTCCTGTTAGTCATGGCTGAGATATACCCTGGAACATAAGATAGGAGGCAAGTGTATGTTGTGTCACTAATTTGTGTACTCTACATGTTACATATGAGATATAGGTGACTGGAACCAAGAGACACCGGCCCTTCAATATCCTGCTTCTGTCTCTCTAGTGTCTGGCAAACACATCGTCCATGTGACAGAATGGCACCAGGTGTCGGAGCATGAAATGATGAAGTGTGATCCTGACTTCAACTTGACTCCTTCTTTTGTCCGGCGACTCCCTGGCTTTCCCCGCCCTGCGTCAGCTGCAGGAGCAGCTTGCGGTAGTCGCCTGAGGTGTCCTTCCGGATGTGTTCTGCCAGGGTTGCCTTGTACTCCTTCTGGTAGACATCCGCCACGTCCTGGAGGTCCACCTGTCAACGTGTATTGTTTGTTAACACTGCACTGATTAATATGGCAACTGTATGGGGGCGATCCGTAAATAGTCGAATCTGAACAGACAATTCAATGATCACATGGTCGGCGTATGATGACTCTGTTTACCAAGTCACACAATGTGTGCCCCCTAACTGGTTGGTGGCCTGACTATTATCGTCTCATCCTAATGCATCCTTCAACATATCATCACCTGGAGTCATTTTCGATCCAATTCTAAATGTTGCCAGTAACCTAATGCATGCTTTGAAAGATATTGATAAAAAAAGAGGACAGCGAGTTGGCCTGACTAGTCTCAATTTGTGGGTCTGTCCCAGGTCCTCCGTATGTCATGTGTACTGTACAACCCAGTGAGGACCGGGTCTCTCTGACAAGGAACATCGTTGTTCGTGCTATCATTTGTTTTTCTTAAGCTCCTCTAATATTGACAGGTATTTGTGATACTGCTGAAACACCCGGTGTCCCTCACCTCGCACTCCCTACCCCCACATACCTCAGAGTGGGACACCACCAACTGCATCAGGCGTTCGTCATCGGTTCCCACTCCGTCCATACTCTCAAACAGACATTTGGCGAAGAACTTTAAGGGGTCCTTCACGTAATAAACTGGAAGTAAAGATTGTTGGATTAGAGAGTCGAAGAGAAACACGTTCATTGCAATAATAAAGGTGCTAGAGTTGTATCCCTTATGTGTTTCAGGAATCTATGATCATGAGTTCAGTCCCTTGTTCGCCCTGATTAGTTTCTAGGTTTGTCAACATTGCTCTTCCACCTGGTAAACATCCGAGACATACATCACTTAATGCTTTCCTCCCACGTGACCCCTGATACAACTGAACTACTGCTCAAAGTAGCGTTTGGCCGAACTCGGGCATTATTGACTTGTACGTAAATATAGTGTATGTATATCTGTCTGTCTGTATGTGTGTGTGTGGTGATCTAGGAATGTGTATTGACTCACCTATTGCCAGGAAAGCTTTCTGTGTATCTCCACTCATCTCGCCGATAATGGCGCCCTCTATATCCTTGCTGGCGTACTCCTTGTAGAGCTCAAACACCTTCCTAAGATGAGGGATGCTGCGGGTCACGAGCACCTTGTTGAAGACATCCTCGTCCGTGGCGAATCTCAGTCCCTCACCTCCCTGCGAACATCGAACATGAAGCGGCTTTATACCAAGGTACAGCATGCATACATACCTACATCGTAAAACACACAAGTTCAGCTTAGGTTTGAAGTCTGAACCTTGGTTCTGTTTGTTGAAGCGGTCGATGAGTTTTATCCCTTGTACCAGAGAGAGGTACACAGATGTATGTTGACATTTCATGTAATATATGTAAATAATTTATTAACTGAAACTTTAACTGGTTTGTGATAAGTCTTCTGCACCTACAACGGTATTGCTGAATTATATATTTTCATAACGTGGTGAAATTTCAGGATTTCAACTGCGAGTATCAAGGTACATCGGCCTTTGGTACCACAGGGAATGAGATTGTCTCTGGGACATGACAAACAGGTCCTCACGTCATGCAACAGGCCTTGACAAGTTGATACTCACTTTATACACCTCCCTAATGTCGGCCTTGACAAGATGATACTCACTTTATACACCTCCCTCATGTCGACCATGACAGGTTGATACGTTGTACACCTTCCTCGTGTCGGCCTTGACAAGTTGATACTCACTTTATACACCTCCCTCACGTCGGCCTTGACAAGTTGATACTCACTTTATACACCTCCCTCATGTCGGCCTTGACAAGTTGATACTCACTTTATACACCTCCCTCATGTCGGCCTTGACAAGATGATACTCACTTTATACACCTCCCTAATGTCGGCCTTGACAAGTTGATACTTCTTACACCTCCCTTATGTCGGCCTTGACAAGATGATACTCACTTTATACACCTCCCCATGTCGGCCTTGACAAGTTGATACTTACACCTCCCTAATGTCGGCCTTGACAAGATGATACTCACTTTATACACCTCCCCATGTCGGCCTTGACAAGATGATACTCACTTTATACACCTCCCTCATGTCGGCCTTGACAAGATGATACTCACTTTACACATCTCCGTCATGTCGGCCTTGACAAGATGATACTCACTTTATACACCTCCCCATGTCGGCCTTGACAAGTTGATACTTTATACACCTCCCTCATGTCGACCTTGACGAGTTGATACTCACTTTCTACACCTCCCTCGTGTCGGCCTTGAGAAGTTGATACTCACGTTATACACCTCCCTCATGTCGGCCTTGGCGGCGTCGTCATCAACCGTCTGCTCCTCCGATCTCCTGCCCTGCACGAGACCAACCAGCACGCGCTGGAAGTCACCTGACACCTCCGACTTGATGTCCTCTTCCAGGTCGGACTGGAACAACTCTGGGAAACAGTGGAGATGGCATTTACGTGATGAAGACAAACGAACTTCTTGTACACACTGTAATACATATCTCCCCAGGTAGTACACGCCATTCAGACTAACAGTCTTTATCGTATGTTCAAGGTTACAGACAGTCTGTTCCTACACTCCTTTCTATCTTGTCTGCTCACCTTTGTAGACAGTCTTTATGTCCTGGATCTCCATGTTGGACCTGGACACCAGGATGTCGATGATGTGAGACTCTTTGGTGCCGAGTCTCTGAAACAACACAATCATACTCAGGTATGAGTAACATGGGGTTCCTTCAACACATTGGTATTTGTTAAACAGTCCGCTGTTCACATACCTTCATGGCGTTCTTCAGACAGAAGGCATCGAAGTACCTCGCCGGCATCAACAGGTAGAGGCAGAGGGACTCGAAGTGACCCGCCAGCTCACTCTTTAGGTCTTCAATGAGATCCTTTAGAAAATAGAGTGAGTGAGTTTAGTTTTACGCAGCTTTTAGCAATATTCGAGCACTATCACGCGGGTACACCAGAAATGGCCTTCACACATTGTACCCATGGGAATTGAACCCGGGTCTTCGGCGTGACGTGAACGTTTTATCCACTAGGCTATCCCACCGCCCCTCCAGAAAATAGAAAACTGTTGCAGCGAATACCTTATATTCGCAGACAATACACTCTACAAATGTGAAAAGGTTAGCCTAAACACTTGCAGGGATGTGTGGGCATATGTTTGAATCCTATACGACACAAGCTTTTAGTGAGTTATATTTGTGCACATTTGACGTGTAGGTTCTTTGCCCTGTATCTGTACGTCCGCCTAGACAAGCCACATACCCTGCCGAAACACGTCTTGTACTTGTCCTTGATCTCCTGCCGCTGGGCGTTGGTGTGCTCCGTGAGAACCCGGATGATCTGGTGCTCGTCTGTGCCTGCAACAAGCGCGTCTCCATACATACAGGTGACAATGCAGCCGGAGAGAAGGGTCCGGGAACTGTATGCCATATATCAGTAACTCTGTGTACACCTTCACTTGGCGTCCGATTCGTATTAAGTGCATGTATAGCCATATACACGTATATCGGTGCGCCCGTGTGGGATGTTCATGCTTGTGTGTTTGCGATTGTGTGTGTGTGTGTGTGTGTGTGTGTGCGCGCGTGCAGTGTGTGTCTGTGTGTGCGTGCGATGTGTGTGTAATGTTGAGTACGTACGATTGTTTTTTACTTTGTGATGTTGAGTATTGCATGCATTTCAAAATCAGTGTTTGTATATGTACATGTATGTATTATAGGATTAGAGAGACCTTTCAGTGTATGGGATAAATCTTACCCAGTCCCTTCAGTATATGGGATATATCTCACCCAGTCCCTTCAGTATATGGAATATATCTCACCCAGTCCCTTCAGTATATGGAATATATCTCACCCAGTCCCTTCAGTATATGGGATATATCTCACCCAGTCCCTTCAGTATATGGAATATATCTCACCCAGTCCCTTCAGTATATGGGATATATCTCATCCAGTCTCTTCAGTATATGGGATATATCTCACCCAGTCCCTTCAGTATATGGGATATATCTCACCCAGTCCCTTCAGTATATGGGATATATCTCACCCAGTCCCTTCAGTATATGGGATATATCTCACCCAGTCTCTTCAGTACATGGGGATATATCTCACCCAGTCCCTTCAGTATATAGGATATATCTCACCCAGTCCCTTCAGAATATGGGATATATCTCACCCAGTCCCTTCAGTATATGGGATATATCTCACCCAGTCCCTTCAGTATATGGGATATATCTCACCCAGTCCCTTCAGTATATGGGATATATCTCACCCAGTCCCTTCAGTATATGGGATATATCTCACCCAGTCCCTTCAGTATATGGGATATATCTCATCCAGTCTCTTCAGTATCTGGGATATATCTCACCCAGTCCCTTCAGTATGTGGAATATATCTCACCCAGTCCCTTCAGTATATGGAACATATCTCACCCAGTCCCTTCAGTATATGGGATATATCTCACCGAGTCCCTTCAGTGTATGGAATATATCTCACCCAGTCCCTTCAGTATATGGGATATATCTCCCCCATTCCCTTCAGTATATGGAATATATCTCACCCAGTCCCTTCAGTATATGGAATATATCTCACCCAGTCCCTTCAGTATATAGAATATATCTCACCCAGTCCCTTCAGTATATGGGATATATCTCACCCAGTCCCTTCAGTATATGGAATATATCTCACCCAGTCCCTTCAGTATATGGGATATATCTCACCCAGTCCCTTCAGTATATGGAATATATCACACCCAGTCCCTTCAGTATATAGAATATATCTCACCCAGTCCCTTCAGTATATGGGATATATCTCACCCAGTCCCTTCAGTATATGGAATATATCTCACCCAGTCCCTTCAGTATATGGAATATATCTCACCCAGTCCCTTCAGTATATGGGATATATCTCACCCAGTCTCTTCAGTATATGGGATATATCTCACCCAGTCCCTTCAGTATGTGGAATATATCTCACCCAGTCCATTCAGTATATAGAATATATCTCACCCAGTCCCTTCAGTATATGGAATATATCACACCCAGTCCCTTCAGTATATGGGATATATCTCACCCAGTCCCTTCAGTATATGGGATATATCTCACCCAGTCTCTTCAGTATATGGGATATATCTCACCCAGTCCCTTCATGGCCTTGCGGAGACGGTCTGCGGCATCCTCCGAGTTGAAGGAGGCGGGGTCCGTCCCTCGGATTGTACCCTGAAGTTATATATATATATATATAATGAAAGATAGATTACTGAGCAAACGTTTGCCCTAGAGTCGAAACCCAGTTCGTTATATGATGCATTGCTTCATTGAACGGGGCCCTGATCACGGACTAAACTCCTTCAGGAAAACTTGGGGTAGAAACGTTATTTTGTCGTGGTGTTCAGGACCAGTGTTTCGGTTGAGGACATGTCCTCTTGAAGTATTCCTCCCAGTAGATATTTACATGCAACATTTATAACCTCACACAGAAAAGTCTCACGGTTTAACAGAAGTTGCAACTAGATTAGAAGTATTAGAAAATGTATAGGTGAACATCTTATGTATTTCAATAGAAGCTACGCGTTAAGGTAGGCTCTTTTGCCGTTTGCAAGCACGTGACTCCTATTGTAATATAGAAGATGTTCATCCATATATTCCTGTCCTTTTAGTACCCCAGCTTGTAAACGCCTCTCAAAGAAGTGGGAAAAGGTTTCCAGAAAATGTGACTATAGGGATGTACGTATTATAATACAAGGGAGACAACTGCGCTGTAGTGTGCCGCAGTCCTCCGTTAAGTACTGCCGTCGTATTTAGTGTTCTATCACAATGTTGTTGGTGCACGAGAACAATGTCTGGTGTGTTCACGATGTATTGCACAAGAAATCGGCTTTAAATGAGCACAGCCAGCATGTCAACTGTCACTGGTTTCTTTCACGGCCCTATTTCCACATTCGTCAAGCATTGTTTACATTAGCAACCAAATCTCCCGAACGATCACTTTCTGTCTCACTTGTACTTCGTATGGAACTACTCAACAGCAGACGACATACCCACAGCAGACGACCCAAACTCTCCACCGCGTGAGATAAGGCCTGTTATTACATGGTTTCATTAAGCATGTAAAGGGGATGATCACATGATACGGAAAATTGAACTCACTTGACAGTAGGAAGCAGCCATCGTCGCGTGTGGAACTGATCGATATCGTTCAGTCATGTGACCAGCCTGTTGTCCGCTGTTGCATAGTAAACTCCTCCATGGTTGTGGGATAAACAAAATAACGAAGTTGTACCTTTCTAAAGTGGGGCGAGGGGAGCCACATTGAACGCTGCACGACGTGGAGGGGGTGCTCAATGGCGTAGCGACAATGGCTATTGAGGCTTCTGGGATTGAAATGGTTGAAAGGCATTGGTACACTATTAATTAGTAACAACTTGGAGCCAAATAGGTAACAGTGAGTGTGTCAGCCTACAGTATTTCAGTACTGTCGAGCAGCGTTGTGTCGAACTCTGATAACTCTATATCTCGGTTGTCTCGATATAACATCTCGGTCCTGGCAAAATCCTTCATAATTTATCATTATATTAACACGGAAAAACTAGACAAAGTTTTATAAATACTTTACGATATGCGTTATTGAAAACTGGAAATATTACAGACTAACCGACTACGTTCCTCAATCTTACATTGATAACGAGCATCGGACATAATCCGGGAACAGTATCTCTAAAGCTTATAGAACCAAGGTGCATTACGTTTATCTGTCTTTACGGCTGTTTGTATTCCACGTTGGTCAAATCACGTGTGTGCCACATATACCTTCGTGGCATACTCGCGACTGGCCATCGATGCTTCGGTCCAACTAAATGACATAATCTCACGTTCACAATAACAACGTTATCGTAAGTTTTATCTGTAAACGCGATTATTTGCGATAGCTAGAATAGATATATATTACGGGTGACAGTCACAAATGAGGGGGGTGGCTGTCTAGTAAATTCACTCAGGTGTGTAACTTTACTTTCTTCTAGTTCGAGAAGTCTTTACCATTTCTATTGTGTGTTAACTTAATCTGTGATTGATGGGACAAACTCGATGATTTCGAGGTACTGGTATGCCTACTGAGAGAAGATTTTGACGTGTTTCTACCCCTCGGGGCTCTTAAGGTGTGCCTGCTCATAGGCCAGAGCCTACCAGCAGGCGCAAAGCCATATTGCTGATTCAATCGAAGGCGACATACCCTAGCAAAGTGATGTAACCCACTGCAATAGCTACATTGCTGATTAGAGGATGGACATGAAACTCTAGACCTGCAGTCGTTACCACAACCCCGGCAATTACCTGAGGTTTGTCTGTTGTTGTTCCTCTGTTGTTGTTGTTGTTGTTGTTGCCGTTGTTGTTGCTGCCGTTGTTGTTGCTGCAGAGGCTGGGCAGAACGACGTGTGTTGACTCCGGGCTGGTGGGACTGATCACGGTTGACATATGTGTTGACATTCTGCCTCAGGAGATCGTGGGCCATCTGAGCAGTCAACTTGTCAAGTTGCTGCTGTTGTGTTGTCAACAGAGCAGCGATGGTGGCCAGTTGATCGTTGTCAACCCCAGGATATGTCCCGGATGATATGGATGGGGTGGCATCCTGGGTGGCTTGAAGAGCAGCTTCAGCCAGTCTTACCTGAAGTGATAATGTCTCTAGTGATTGTGGATCATGGGGAATGACTAATCCCTTCAAAGGAGGCTGCAAGCCATTGATAATGACTTGAACAAGGAGGGTCTCAGGGATCTGGAGGCCAGCTTTCATCTCGTGCACACGTTCAATGAAGGCAGACCCGGGACTCGGTGTCGTTTTGGCGGGCGGACAGGAAAGCCGTCTGTGAGGATACGTCGTTGAACCTACGAGTGAAGACGGCTTCGAATTGGGCTGCGGTTGTTGGGGCTGGATGAAGCGAGTCCAGCCAGGTAGCAGCGGGTCCGTCTACGTACAACGGCAGGAGGTTCAAGTAGACGGAATCTGTGAGTGATTGATACTGTCGAAAAACAATTCATTTTCTTCAGCCATTGTCGGGCGTTGCCTGTACCGTTGAATTTTGGCACCAGATCACTCACGTATGCCATATTGGGAGACTGTGTGTCTTGTCGCACGGCTGAAGGATGACCCCTCAGTGTTTGGGCCCGACGCAATCCTGTCCTCGTTGATAGTGACTGGAGGATTAACGCTGTCTGTGTTTGGGCCCGAAGCTATGGTTGTAAGGTCCTCCAGTGGTTCGCCAAGGCCGCTGTATTCGTCGGCGGGGGTCGGAGGTCGGTGTCCGGCTCCTAGTGTTGTAGTTTGTGGGTTGGTATGTAGCCATAGGTCGATTTTTGATTCTCCGCCACCTATTAAAACGCGAGTTTTGGGGAATCAGCTCGCTTGGCAATAGGTCTGCCCATACCAACCCACACACAACACAACATCTGAGTAAATAAACAAGGAGTTTATTACACAGCAGTCACTGAACGATTTTACATAATCAGTCAATAATAGCATAGTTTACAATTAATTATTAGAACATGATCAGAATGCAATCAGATATCAAAGTACATAAACATCACATGTAGATTCGTTATACACGACACATACTACATTAATCGCGATACATATTCTAATGTACACATTAATCGCGATACATATTCTAATGTACACAACAATAGTTCAGAACTCTACACATCACCCCAGTTGGGGTTCATACAATCTACATTCTGTAACGGTCCCAAGCAGCATATAGTATTCATGCACAACGTAATACAATAGTTAAAATTTCCGACACACCATGTTATAAACATTCTATAATAGTCACTGTAGGGTCAATCAGTATTAAATAAACAATCCTACACTGTAATACAGAAGATATGAGACACATACTAAGGAATGCCTCGTTCCACATAAACCTAACGATTGTGCCAAGGGTAACAAATAGTAAAGAGATGCCCAATAAGATTAAGTTAACACAGAACAGAAATGGTAAAGACTTCTCGAACTAGAAGAAAGTAAAGTTACACACCTGAGTGAATTTACTAGACAGCCACCCCTCATTTGTGACTGTCACCCGTAATATATATCTATTCTAGCTATCGCAAATAATCGCGTTTACAGATAAAACTTACGATAACGTTGTTATTGTGAACGTGAGATTATGTCATTTAGTTGGACCGAAGCATCGATGGCCAGTCGCGAGTATGCCACGAAGGTATATGTGGCACACACGTGATTTGACCAACGTGGAATACAAACAGCCGTAAAGACAGATAAACGTAATGCACCTTGGTTCTATAAGCTTTAGAGATACTGTTCCCGGATTATGTCCGATGCTCGTTATCAATGTAAGATTGAGGAACGTAGTCGGTTAGTCTGTAATATTTCCAGTTTTCAATAACGCATATCGTTATAAAGTATTTATAAAACTTTGTCTAGTTTTTCCGTGTTAATAATTATTCAAGCTCTTTTAACTCGATACGGTTGTCTCGATATTTCGGATATCTCGATATAATTTCATGGTCCCAACAAGCAAAATTACCCTTTTAACTCGATATTTGCAAAGAAGCTCGATCTTCACCTACCTTTCATGGGCAAGTATCCCTCTGAACTGAGGTTGTTTCCACACGTTTCCACACGGTGCGGCATAATCAAAGGGATGCGGTAGTGTAAACTAATTAGGGCTAATTGAGTTGAAGGTGTCACTTGTTTGTTATTTAATTAGGATTAATTAAGAAGGAAATAATTAGGAAGTACTCACTGTTACGACTAAACACTACTGATAACGGATTATAGTTTCGAATCATAACATACTGAGAAGCGTTTTGATTTCTTTCATAGTGATATGTGACGATATGCCCTGGTCGGATGTCTCGAAGTTCGGATAACTCGATGTTTTTTCTTGGTCCCATGAATATCGAGACAACGGTGCTCGACTGTAGTAGCCTTCACTGTGTGAACCTACACTGTTACAGTAGTAGCCTTCACTGTGTGGACCTACAGTGTTACAGTAGTAGCCTTCACTGTGTGGACCTACAGTGTTAGAGTAGTAGCCTTCACTGTGTGGACCTACAGTGTTACAGTAGTAGCCTTCACTGTGTGGACCTACAGTGTTACAGTAGTAGCCTTCACTGTGTGGACCTACAGTGTTACAGTAGTAGCCTTCACTGTGTGGACCTACAGTATTACAGTAGTAGTAGCCTTCACTGTGCAGTGGACCTACAGTGTTAGCCTTCACTGTGTGGACCTACAGTGTTACAGTAGTAGCCTTCACTGTGTGGACCTACAGTGTTAGTAGTAGTACCTTCACTGTGTGGACCTACAGTGTTACAGTAGTAGCCTTCACTGTGTGGACCTACACTGTGTTACACTGTGTGGACCTACAGTGTTACAGTAGTAGCCTTCACTGTGTGGACCTACAGAACCCTACAGTTACAGTAGCCTGTGTGGACCGTGTTACAGTAGTAGCCTTCACTGTGTGGACCTACAGTGTTACAGTAGTAGCCTTCACTGTGTGGGACCTACAGTGTTACAGTAGTAGCCTTCACTGTGTGGTAGCCTTCACTGTGTGACCTACAGTGTTACAGTAGTAGCCTTCACACCTGTGTGCAGTAGCCTCCCACCGCGTTACAGTAGTAGCCTCACTGGGTGGCCTACAGTGTTACAGTAGTAGCCTTCACTGTGCGTGGACCCACAGTATTGCTGGCAGTAGCCTTCACCGTGTGGACCTGGCTACCGCCAGCCACAGCAGTAGCCTACAGTGTTCAGCCACAGTAGTAGCCTTCACTGTGTGGACCTACAGTGTACAAAGTGTTATGCACTGTGTGTAGTAGCCTTCACTGTGGGACCCACATTGTTACAGCCTTCACTGTGTGGACCTACAGTATTACAGTAGTAGCCTTCACTGTATTACAGTGGACCTACACAGTATTACAGTAGTAGCCTTCACTGTGTGCACCTACAGTGTTACAGTAGTAGCCTTCACTGTGTGGACCTACAGTTTCATTACATAAGTAACCGTTATGTGTCAGTCGATAGTACTATATAACACTGACTGGGTCAGCCTGTAATTGTATGAGCATTAATAACACTGGCTGGGTCAGCCTGTACTGTATTGTATGACATTAATAACACTGTACTGGGTCAGCCTGTAATGGTATGTCATTAATAACACACTGTAATTAATAACACTGTGGATGACTGGGTCAGCCTGTAATTGTATGACATTAATAGACTGGGTCACTGACTCAGCCTGTAATTGTATGACATTAATAACACTGGCCAGGGTCAGCCTGTAATTGTATGACATTAATAACACTGGGTCACTGGGTCAGCCTGTAATTGTATGACATTAATCACACTGGCTGGGTCAGCCTGTAATTGTATGACCTTAATTGTATGACACACTGGCTGGGTCAGCCTGTAATTTAATATGACATTAATCATTAATAACACTGTCACTGGCTGGGTCAGCCTGTAATTGTATGACATTAATAACACTGGCTGGGTCAGCCTGTAATTGTATGACATTAATAACACTGTCTGGGTCAGCCTGTAATTGTATGACATTAATAACACTGTCTGGGTCAGCCTGTAATTGTATGACATTAATAACACTGGCTGGGTCAGCCTGTAATTGTATGACATTAATAACACTGTCTGGGTCAGTCTGTAATTGTATGACATTAATAACACTGGCTGGGTCAGCCTGTAATTGACATTAATGGCTGGGGTCAGCCTGTAATTGTATGACATTAATCACTGCCGGCTGGTATGACATTAATAACACTGTCTGGGTCAGCCTGTAATTGTATGACATTAATCACACTGGCTGGGTCAGCCTCCAGGTGTATCACACTCAGTTACAGGTTATCTAGTGGAATCAAGAGACTATCAGGGGATGAGCGTGCACGTAGTTACCTCGGCATGAGTATACCCTGCATCAGCCTTGTAGTATGACTCACATACCTTCATGACATTCTCCTTAATCCGCGCCAGTCGACACTGAGGCCCCCTGCATCATTCAGGAGATATCATGATACGGGAAAGGGGTTTCGTTTGTAACATTTGTCAATACACAAGTTAAAATACTAGGTTTACAGACCTCCACAATTACACCCACAGGCTGTCCTTCCTAGATGCGCTGTATAATTGTCATAGAACACGCGATATATTCTGCCGTCTCTTCATTCATAATGACACTGATACCCTGACACTGGCTTGTGATTCTCATCAGCTGGGGAAGTTATGAAAATATTACCTGCATTATGCTGAAGGTTTCTTACACAACCCTTGCTGCAAATACCCTCTAGAATTTAACATGCAGGGAACAACCGATACCTGGGATACAGCCCATACGTGGGATATGGCCCACCCTCAACCCGGAGTAAAACCGGGTATCTGCCCTCCAAGACAGGCACCCCAACTGCTGGAAGTGTGAGCGAAGGTCACCACTATTGGAGTGAGTGAGTGAGTTTGGTTTTTACGCCACTTTTAGCGACATTCAAGCAACATCACAGCGGGGGACACCAGCAATTCACACATTGTACCCATGTGGGGGATCGAACCCGGGTCTTCGGCGTGACGAGCCAATGCTTTCACCACTAGGCTACCCCACCGCCCAACACTTCTATTGGAGAGTTTTTCAGACCAGCATCACAACCATCCACCACTGCAGCTCTTTCTTTATGTGTTTTGGTTACAATTCATTTCTTAAGTCATTCCCAGTGTGTGCACATAGGAACACTAGGTATATAGGGACTGTAGGAACACTGGAACACTAGGTATATTGGGACTGTAGGTACACTGAAACACTAGGTATATTGGGACTGGGGAACAATAGGTATATAGGGACTGTAGGTACACTGAAACACTAGGTATATTGGGACTGTAGGTACACTGGAACACTAGGTATATTGGGACTGTAGGTACACTGGAACACTAGGTATATTGGGACTGTAGGAACACTGGGTATATTGGGACTGTAGGTACACTGGAACACTAGGTATATTGGGACTGTAGGTACACTGGAACACTAGGTATATTGGGACTGTAGGTACACTGGAACACTAGGTATATTGGGACTGTAGGTAACACTGAACACTGGAACACTGGAACACACTAGGTATATTGGGATATTGGGACTGTAGGTACACTGGAACACTAGGTATATTGGGACTGTAGGTACACTGGAACACTAGGTATATTGGGACTGTAGGAACACATATTGGGACTAGGTATATTGGGACTGTAGGAACACTAGGTATATTGGGACACACTGGGGTATATTGGGACTGTAGGTACACTGGAACACACTAGGTATATTGGGACTGTAGGAACACTGGAACACTAGGTATATTGGGACTGTAGGTACTGTAGGTACACTGGAACACTAGGTATATTGGGACTGTAGGTACACTGGAACACTAGGTATATTGGGACTGTAGGAACTGGGTACAATGGACTCTGGAACACTAGGTATATTTGGACTGTAGGTACACTGGAACACTAGGTATATTGGGACTGTAGGTACACTGGAACACTGGAGGTATATTGGGACTGTAGGTACACTGGAACACTAGGTATATTGGGACTGTAGGTACACTGGAACACTAGGTATATTGGGACTGTAGGTACACTGGAACACTAGGTATATTGGGACTGTAGGTACACTGGAACACTAGGTATATTGGGACTGTAGGTACACTGGAACACTAGGTATATTGGGACTGTAGGAACACTGGAACACTAGGTATATTGGGACTGTACACTAGATATATTGGGACTACACTGGAACACTAGGTATATTGGGACTGTAGGAACACTGGTATATTGGGAACACTAGGTATATTGGGACTGTAGGTACACTGGAACACTAGGTATATTGGGACTGTAGGAACACGAACACTAGGCACATTCGGACTGTAGGTACACTGGAACACTAGGTATATTGGGACTGTAGGAACACTGGAACACTGGGTATATTGGGACTGTAGGAACACTGAAACACTAGATGCACTGAGAAGACAACACATATTGTGTGCACTTGAGCCGCAGTTCCTCTGATGTTGGTGACGTTGCTGTTGGTGACAAGCGAGGATGCATTATTATATAATTGGAAGATTATAATATCAATAACTGCCCAACGTCTTCTTCGTTGACAGCTGCCGAGCGGTATACAGCAACCTGAGCACGGTGTTTGTACGCCGCACACCGTGTGGTCAGTGTTGGTCCCCCAGTAGGTTGTTTTCACAATGATCATGGCGATATTCTGGCAGGTCCATGTTATCATGTTATATGGTTTCATAAGATAAGTAAAACAAGTCGGAATATGGAGGTAAGCCTCGTCTTCTTTACTAATGATTTAAGTGACACCTTTGGACGCTCTACATCCCGTTGCGACAGGTTTTAGAAAGGAACACAAAATACAACTTTCTCACGCTAACTTTGCCCAGTGGCCATGTTCTCCGGCTGAAATACTCATGCTCATGGGGGGATTAATTCCTGTAATGAAACGGAGTGGAGTTGGTTGGGTTGGAGAGAATGAGTACGGGTATTAAAGGGGTGGCATGCTCCCTCTCCTGGGAAACTTGTTATGACGCAGGGGAGGTAATATGTATCGATCAACAGGTATTGATACTTGGAAGAATTGCACACAAGCGACAGTATCGGCGAAACCATTACCCATAGATTAGTGAGGCATTAAACCAGAGTATGCCCGGGGTAGCAACGATGGCAGACCTGTAGGCTAACATGCATAGGGCTGTGGACGATGTGAGATGGGAACTACTCTCCTGCTAGGGCTGTGGACGATGTGAGATATAATCTATCCACGTGCAAGGGCTGTGGACGATGTTGGATGTATACAGAAAGAGACGTCATCTAACGAGCAGCCATTGTAAGCCTTTACATAAACAAGGGTAAAGGTATGGTCGGGAGATGGCGGTGTTTTACATCATATAAATAGTGTTCCGTGATATATGAAAACTTACTTCCGGGCTGCAGCCGTTGACTTGATGCAATGATTGATGGAGTGTGTGCTACGAACGGAGCGTGTTTTATTGGATGGTATTCAAGGAAAGTGAGGGTATTCGAGTGTTTGATAAAGCCGTGTTATGGTTTCACTGACAGCTGCCATAATTCACTGTGATAAAACTGTGCAGGTCAGCAACACATTGCTCAGTGACGAGGAACGACACAATCCCTCTGAATGCATATCGTACAGAGTATAATTGTCACATGCGTGAACCTTTATTGACCGTTAGCTAAACCAAATAATTGATCTCCATATTCTACGCAACCAGCATCCAGCAACATCAACATAGTGCAGGGTCAGAAATTGCTATCACCTCTGTTACGTCATAGTTGACATCAGACATTAACAGGCTGTCGCTGGGAAATAGACGTTCTTGCTAGACACCAATAGCATGTCGATAGGACAAAGACGTCCTTGGTAGACATCAACACGCCGTCGACAGGACAAAGATGTTCTTACTAGACACCAACAGGCTCTCGTTAGATAGAAGACTTACACACGAACAGACTGTGGCTGGGCGAGAGACGTTATCAGTCCACGTTTAATATTAGTATTTCAATATACATTGTCTGTCTGTATATGTGCAGGTTCAAAAACAGTACAACATAGCTATCGTCAAGGTAAGCATCTTCGGAGACCCCTTGGAGCAGTCAGTACTCAACGCGAATATTGGTATCACAGGACATGATGAGGCGGTGTCAGGACCGGAACGCCGGCCCGCTCTCGGAGAGATACATCATCATCCCTGAGGACTTGTTCCAGGACCTGACCAGAACTCCCACGACCATCGACCTGACTCTGCAGAGACACCACCATGGTACACAGAGGACCGCCGGTACCTACCCCCGGCCTCGGCCCCTACCCTCGCTTGACTGGGCCAGACACCACCCCCGGGAGAATGGTTATAGACTATTAGGGGTGCACAGACCGAGAGTGTTCAGGTAGGTAAATTCAGCTGAAGATCTTCACGAAGGGTGAGATTGATTTTAAGCCACATATAGAAGGATTTAAGAAATAGCCCGGTAACTGACATCAAGAAAGGGTTTCATGGAGCGTGTCCTTTGAGTCTCGGATGTTCTCGTGGATGGAGATCTTGATGGATTACAACTTCATTATTGTTTGTAACGATATTTCAGGGTACTTCTCATTCGGTGAATATTTCATGTACATTACAGAGGCGCGTGAGATATAGAGAGTGATACAAGTGTTGATATCAGTATGATGCATCACAGTGGCTGTGTACATCCTGAGTCAGTCAATGGTCACTCCATGAGGCACGTGGACAGTCAGTGGTCAAACCACGAGGTACGTGGACAGTCAGTGGTCACACTACGAGGCACGTGGACAGTCAGTGGTCACACCACGAGGTACGTGGACAGTCAGTGGTCAAACTACGAGGTACGTGGACAGTCAGTGGTCACACCACGAGGTACGTGGACAGTCAGTGGTCACACCACGAGGTACGTGGACAGTCAGTGGTCACACCACGAGGTACGTGGACAGTCAGTGGTCACACCACGAGGTACGTGGACAGTCAGTGGTCACACCACGAGGCACGTGGACAGTCAGTGGTCACACCACGAGGCACGTGGACAGTCAGTGGTCACACCATGAGACACGTGGACAGTCAGTGGTCACACCACGAGGAGGCACGTGACAGTCAGTGGTCACACCACGAGGCGTGGACGTGGACAGTCAGTGGTCAAACCACGAGGTACGTGGACAGTCAGTGGTCACACTACGAGGCACGTGGACAGTCAGTGGTCACACCACGAGGCACGTGGACAGTCAGTGGTCACACCACGAGGTACGTGGACAGTCAGTGGTCACACCACGAGGCACGTGGACAGTCAGTGGTCGCACCACGAGGTACGTGGACAGTCAGTGGTCACACCACGAGGCACGTGGACAGTCAGTGGTCACACCACGAGGTACGTGGACAGTCAGTGGTCACACCACGAGGGTCAGTCAGTGGTCACCCACGAGGCACGTGGACAGTCAGTGGTCACACCACGAGGCACGTGGACAGTCAGTGGTCACACCACGAGGGACGTGGACAGTCAGTGGTCACACCACGAGGCACGTGGACAGTCAGTGGTCACACCACGAGGCACGTGGACAGTCAGTGGTCACACCACGAGGCACGTGGACAGTCAGTGGTCACACCACGAGGCACGTGGACAGTCAGTGGTCACACCACGAGGCACGTGGACAGTCAGTGGTCACACCACGAGGCACGTGGACAGTCAGTGGTCACAGCCCCATTTCAACATACTCTTTCGCTCGGTCAAATCCCCTTCTTTAAAATCTTCTTTTTTAGTACATTGTTTGGTACATTTTAGATGTGCTTTTTGTACTTTATTTAGTCCTCTATTTCGTATACCAACTTCTTGTACATACTTTGATACATGGAAGTGTAGACGCTGCATATATATACTGTATATAACAATGAAACAACACAAAGGTTGATGGCCATGATTGGCTAAGCAGTAAGCTGGAAGCCAGTGAGTGGATAGTGAATGAGCTAGTTACAATGAGATGCCTAAACATTTAGTGAATGTTTATACAATAGATTGGGCTTGGTGGAGGAGATCATGGATGGAATGTATCCTGGTCCACGGTTGATGGTGGGCTTGTGGCGTTTGAGATGAATGGCTTCTGTGAGCTTGCGTTTAGTGAAGTCCGTTTGGTTGCTGGCGAGAATGGTGATGTCGGACCACTCTGGTGATCGGAATTTGAGCAACAGAGGTAGCGACTTGGTGTCGGAATTAGCAACAGGTGTTCTTTGACCCGGGGTTGATCGGGATGTTTCACCTATGTAGCATTGTCCACAATCACAGTTTATTTTGTAAATAACACATTTCGGGTTGTTGTTGTTGACGGTGGGTTGTTTTCTTCCATTGGCATGGAGGAGGTTGTTGAGGCTGGAGGACGCTAGAGAAGGTTGTGTCTATGCCTGCCTGTTGTTTCAGGAGTCGGCTGATTTGGTGTGATGGTTTACCAATGTAGGAATGGATATCTTGATGGGGCTGATTCTGGTTTAGATCTTTGGCAGGAGGTGAAAGCGTTGCTTCGATGGTTCTGTTGACTATTTCAGGTGGGTAGTGGTTGCGTTCTACAAAGACTTTCCTCAGGTGTTCAATTTCTTCCTGTAGGTTCGTTGAGCAGATGTTTTGGCTCTTCTGGTCAATGTAGAGATGACGCTTTGGTCTTGACTTTAGGGGGTGGTTGGAGTTGTAGTGGATGTATTGTTCCGTATGAGTAGGTTTTCTGTACACGGAGGTCTGGAGTTGGTTGCAAGAGGTGCGGGACACAAGGACATCAAGGAAAGGTAGTTGGTTGTTCTGCTCTGTTTCGATGGTGAATTTGATGCGGGATGTTGGCTGTTGAGATGGGCGAGGAGCTGCTTTGGATCTTGCTGAGGTTGGAGGATGACGAAGGTGTCATCCACTTTGCGGTACCAGCAGGACGGTTTGAAGGGTGCAGTTTAAATAAAGAAGTTGTTATCCATAACTTACAATTATAACAGACACCCAGACACCCCCACCCCCATCCCCACACACACACATTCCTGTAACCGTATTTGGTGCTGTATTAACTACCTTCATATCTTGCACCCACTTGTCACCCTAGCCCATAACTCCTCATATCGCGTCCCTCCAAGCTGTAGTGAAGGCGCGCAACACGTGTACAACATTCAAACATCACCACAACACAGTACTTCTAAAAGGGTCATTGAAGCAGCCAACTAAATGGCTATGCTGTGGAGAAAGGCAAGGGCTACACGATAGTAGAATTGGATAAAGCAAACACGTTTGAGTCCTAATTGTACATTGCCTCTTCAGTCACTGAAATCACACTGGTAACACGGCCTGTCTGGACGCCCGACTTTGTCTCGTTCTGTATACGAGCATGCCACGAAAGGGCACAGGTACTACAGACTGCCTGTGCTAAAGGGCACATCTACCCGTACTACAGGCTGTCTGTGCTATTGGGCACATCTATCTGTATTATAGACCGTCTGTACCAGAGGGCACATCTACCCGTACTGCAGACTGTCTGTGCTATTGGGCACATCTACCCGTCTTATAGACCGTCTGTACCAGAGGGCACATCTACCCGTACTGCAGACCCGTCTGTGCTATTGGGCACATCTATCTGTATTATAGACCGTCTGTACCAGAGGGCACATCTACCCGTACTACAGACTGTCTGTACTAAAGGGCACATCTACCCTTATTATAGACTGTCTGCACTATTGGGCACATCTACCCGTACTACAGACTGTCTGTGCTAGAGGATACATCTACCCGTACTACAGACTGTCTGTGCTATAGGGCACATCTACCCGTACTAACGACTGCCTGTCAAAGTAGGGCACATCTACCCGTACTAACGACTGTCTGTACTACCCGTACTAGGGGCACATCTACCCGTACTAACGACTGCCTGTGCTATATCTACCCGTAGTACAGACACATAGGGCACATCTACCCGTACTAACGACTGCCTGTGCTATAGGGTGAGTGAGTGAGAGTTAAAGTTTCAAGTCACATCAGCAGTATGTCAGCCATATCCCATGTGACTAAAACAAGTTTAGAATACACCATAAATACATGTAAATTATACAAACCTGTCATCGAAGGACAGTAAAATCGACTAGAATACCACAGCATCAAGAAATAAAACTAGCTTCTCTCTTTAAAACTGGATTTTAAATTAGGACAATACAGAATAAAAATGGGCTATAGATCGCCAACAACTGAGGGTAGATCACCATACTAGGGACCATGGGGACTTACACTGCTTTTGCTACCTGCATGGTGTGCTATAGGGCACATGTACCAGTGCTACATACTCCCCGTGCTCTTGGGCACATTTACCAGTGTCACAGACTGCCTGTGCTCTTGGGCATATTTACCAGTGCTACAGACTGCCCGTGCTCTTGGGCACATGTACCAGTGTCACAGACTGCCTGTGTTCTTGGGCACATTTGCCAGTGCTACAGACTGCCTGTGCTCTTGGGCACATTACCAGTGCTACAGACGGGCTCTCAGTACGACGCGTTCTCTAACGGTGATGGGTATGACGGAGAGAAATGTTGACCCACTAAATGTCTCCTCGTTTAACGTGTTATATAAGTCTGAATCTGTTGACATCATCTGGTGTTGATTAAACCATTAAATATCAGTTTTATATGTTATCATTTTGTAGAAAAAATACTTTGTGCCTAGTCAGTACAACTTTAAAAAAACAAACAAAATAATTAGACACTAGATCAAATGTCAAAAATATATAACCCATCCATAAACTAAAACACGATGGCATTTATAATCATCTGCTAAACTAAATCAACAGATCTGACGGTCGACAAGTGTATATGTCCCCATGTCATTAGCGTCTGTCTATCTGTCGGACCCTGCCCACATCGATTTGTCTCTATCGGGTTGGAGACTAGTGAATGTTGACAGGCATACTGTACACTGTTGGCTGCGATGCCGGGGTAGGCTAGGGTTTGGTCCTGTCCAACCACCTCGGTCCACGTGGTCTTATCACAGTGGTGACCCCCGTACACCCACGTGGGCAGGCATCGCGCCAAGTTGCTTCCTGCACGGGAATGTAGCTTTACATATTACTACAGTTGTAGAGATATATATTATAGTATTTGTATCACCAATGCAATATATAATAGTATTTGTATCACCAATGCATACATACATGGATTCGGGGCGGTGGGGTAGCCAAGTGGTTAAAGCGTTCGCTCGTCACGCCGATGACCACTCACTCATTTACTCAATCAATCAATCAATCATGGATTTTGAAAATTGATACTATCATTAGCGTTCAGGTCACGAGTTAACCAACTGCATCACCCATTACGACACATATGTACACCTGGAGAAATGTTAAGCACCCCTATAAATGTGTTGGCCGCTAACTA